TCATATGCGTCCCCTGAATGAAACATTTGATACAAATGTAACAGAGTTCATAACAAAATTAAAGCTAGTAATCGAGAAAGGGTTGCAAGATGTCATTATTGAGGGAGATGATGTCAATATTGTTAATAAGCTTGCTAAGCCTAAAATAAATCTTTTGATGGTGGGATTTTATTTAGAAAAGCGATAGATATATACGATGGTGGAATTTTGATGGTGGTTTTACGAGGAATATAGGAATATACAATGGTCTCAAAATCTCCCTACAATTTTTTTCGGAGAAAATCCCCATGAGGAATACCTCTGGACATAAGACCTAGGAGACTTGAAATCCCATGTTCCTCGTAAAACCACGACCCTTTGGCATAATTCCTGGCACACTCACGTGAAGATCGAAATCAACTGAGAACCGACCGTATTAACTAAAAGACTATCTACCCTGCCAGTATACAAAAAACAATAATGGTTTTACACATAATATTAACACTAAGGGTGCGTTTGGTTGGGAGAATGTGAAATTACCATGGGAATGAAATCCACATTCCCCCGTTTGGTTGTCGGGAATGTCATTCCCGGTAATCTTACATTACTAATAGTGAATTTTTGGGGTATATTACCGGGAATATCATTACCTCCATTTCCTTATGTATTGTTGAATTATCAGTGTTTTGGACTAAAATGCCCTTAAAAAAATTTCTTTCAAAAATATTCTTATACTGTCATTGAATAATAAAAATTCTTGAAGGTTAAATTACAAATTTATCCTTAAACTATTTTAGATTTACAAAAAAAAAGTCTATAATTAAAATATTATATGAAGTTCAGGGGTTAAAATAAAATTTTACCCTTTCATTAAACTTTTTTATATTTTCAATTTTGTAAAAAAAACTATATAAATTTTATGAATTTAATTTTTTTAAAGAAAATATATAAATATTTTCCAACTTGTTAAAAAACTAAATATATAATAAGGATAATTTGGTCAAATATACATTTTAATAATCTTTTATTCCTTTAACCAAACACAGTAATCTTACATTCTGCTAAACCAACCAAACACAAAATACAACATTCCCAGTAATCCTATTCCCTGGTAATCTTTTATTCTCACTGGTAATCTTACATTCCGTGAACCAAACGCACCCTAGTGTGTTTGGTTGGGGGAATGTGAGATTCCCATGAGAATGGAATCTACATTCCCCCGTTTGGTTGGTCGGGAATGTCATTCCCGATAATCTTACATTACCAATAGTTGATTTTTTGGGGTATATTACTGGGAATGTCATTACCTCCATTTCCTTAGGTATTGTTAGATTACCAGCGTTTTTGACTAAAATGCCCTTAAAAAAATTTCTTTTCAAAAATATTCTTATTTTGTCATTAAATAATAAAAATTCTACGAAGTTAAATTACAAATTTATCCTTAAACTATTTTAGATTTACAAAAAAATCTATAATTAAAATTTTATATGAAATTCAGGGGTTAAAATAAAATTTTACCCCTTCATTAAACTTTTTTATATTTTCAATTTTGTAAAAAAATTATATAAATTTTATGAATTTAAATTTTTTAAAGAAAACATATAAATATTTTCCAACTTGTTAAATATATATATATATATAATAAGGACAATTTGGTCAAATATACATTCTAATAATCTTTTATTCCTTTAACCAAATACGGTAATCTTACATTCATGCTAAACCAACCAAACACAAAATGCAACATTCACAGTAATCCTATTCACTGGTAATCTTTTATTCTGATTGGTAATCTTACATTCCCACTGGTAATCTTACATTCCTACTAGTACTCTTACATTCCGTGGACCAAACACACCATAAAGGTTAACATATAAACGTATAGAGGGAATCTTCTAACTGCCACTTACTCTCTGTTTTCTGTCATTAATATTTTTAATTAATGATTGATTTCTCACTAACTACGATTTTTCACTTAAATAAAAAACAATGAATTGTTGTAAATCGACATAACCATCTTTATTTCATCAACAAAATTTAAGATATTGCAACAATAATAATATGAAAATTTAAAATCTGTTTTTTTTTTCAAATAAAAAGCCATCAAATCAAAACTTTATAAACTCTAACGTTTGACCTATTGGAAGTAACAGTGATATACTTTTAGTAAAGCTACATGCGTAGAAAAAATATCAAATTCCAATTTGTAGAATTTTCTTTGCCTACCCTGTCGCTTACAATTTAATTATACGCATCTTTCTTCTAAAAGAATAAATAAATATACGCATTTCAATTTAAATGTCTGCAGGTTGATACTAACGATCAATTTATTTAATAGAATCAATATTAGATCTTTTAAATAAAGTTAGGGTTCAAATTCTAACCATTACAACTGAAGTAAATTGAATTAGAAGGATGATTCTTGCCTCTACAATATCCGATTTAAATTAATTAATCAATAAATTAAATACAGTTAATTATGAAAAAAATATCCCCGGGTTAAAGGGAAAGTTCGTAATAATCAAATCAATCGGCTTGACCAATTGACTAATTACTTTGTATTCTAGTTCAACGCAGTCTTATCATTTTACGAATTATACAACCTAGACGGGCGGGAGTTTAATTCTTAATTCAATAAATCACATGTGAATTATAAATTCCATGGTTTTAACTTTCCATTTCATTTATTTCATAATTAAATATTTACTCATTATTTATTTATTTTTTAAAAGTCCACAGATAATTTATTTAAATATCTTTGATGATTTTTTCTATATTTATTGAATTATTGGCAGTTAATTAAACAATTATTTTGATTTTATTTGTTTGACAAGAAACATTTAAATAAGATAAATTTAGTCTATGGTCATCCACAATTTTTGCCATTTTGATTTTTCATGCAGTGGCTGCTATATAATATATATAATATAGTGTTCCACTTGTAACACTTATTTGAGTCAATGGGACAATTTGACCATTCAAATTGAATTAATTATGATAATAATTGAGGAGCATTTGGAATGTAGTTTTATTTTATCTACAGATGTCACTCAATTTCTCTATAGAAATAATAAGTATTTAATTCCATTACGTAATTATATATAATTATATATAGCCAGCGTATGCTTAAATTAGTGTTTTCATTATTTCCTTTCATTTTCTTAAATTTAATTCTCTTTTAGTCATTGAACTACTGAAGTTTAAAAAAATTTATAATTTGATTATTTAATTTTTGAATTATTCAAAATTTGATCATAATTTTATTAAATAATTAACGAATTTATGACATGACAACAAAACATAATCTTTGATCTAAAAAAAATTAGACATAATGTCATTTTTTTGGTACACAAAAAAACTATTTTTTATTTTTTCTTCATTTTTCCCCTATTCTTCCTTCATCTTTTTTTTTCTCCATTTATACTATCAATGAACCTAAATTTCAATCACCACGTCAATCGTTATTCTTATCATTATTGACTATTGTCATCTGAGACCAATGACTATTAAAATTTTCACCGAACATGTCTCAACACTTTGAATGCGAAATTAATATCTATTTAATTGAAAAACACCTTAAACTCTATAGATCTAGTATTGATACCATTGTTGCAGTACGCCACCATTCTCTTTCGATCACCATTTATGTTGATACAATTACTAAATGAAAATTTTTCCTCTCCTTTTTCATTCCTCGACTCGGATCTTCATGGAATAAACCCAAAAGTTATAATAATTCAAATCAAAGCTCAGACCAAATAGTTCCAACTTGTATCCTTTCATGGTATGATCATTATTTTTTTAATTGGGATATGTTATTCTTCAATGCATGTATTATTTTTTGAATGTTGTGATCTACCATACAATTAGAGCCCCTGAATTACTAGAATCAAAAAACTCAATAAGATTTTTTTCCTTTTTTTTGTTTTCTTTGCTTCTTAGTTTTTTTATTTTTATTCTTATTTTGGTCTTATGTGGTTGCTGGAATTTGATTTGGAATATTGTTTAGATTACATAATCTTGTTTGAAGGCTTGGCAATTGGAGACAATTTTGTGTTTAATGATGGCAGTGGAGGCAGGTTGAACAATGGTTGAGTGTGCGGAGGTGGTGACCGACGGAGAATGAAAAAGAAGTAAAAGAAAATATTAATAAAATATTTGCTTGTGCTTACATGGCAGTTCAAAAGTTAATAAAAAATTCTGTCACCATAGTGTTAGAGAAAATAGTATAGAAAAGTTTAATGTATAAAGTTTAATGATTAGACTGATTTTTTTTTACAGTTACTAAAATAAAAGTGATAAGATAGTTGAATGATAGATGTACTTTACCCGGAAATAAAAGAAAGAAAGAAAATTAAAACAAAATCTATAATCAAACAGAGTTCAAAAATAAAATCGAATTTTGTTAAAGCATATATGAAAGATTTCCTTGATACAAGCAATGAATAATCTAAACTAGATCTTCCTTTGATTTTACTACTGCTGAGGCCATTCCAGTGATGGCCGAATGTTCAAAAGGATTTTGTCTTCAAAGTTGAAGCAAAGGAAAGAGTTGTTTTTCTTTGTGGCTCTGAATCTGCAATAGTTTGTGATTTTAAGATAATAGCAAGCTGGTAAGAACAGACATATTCAAGCAATTGCAGGATAAAGTTAATGTAAACTGTTGTTTCATGAAGATTAAACCATGAAAACAGGGCTCGGCATTGACCCAAAATGTTGCAATGCGCACGTTAAACACTTGTGATAGTCAACTGAATGCACAGCTTAAGAGGAAGGATCAGAAACCGTCTCAGATAGTTTACAACTAGTTATAATCCCCATACAAAATTTCTGAGCACTCCAAAATCACCATGATGAACTCAATCCTAGTTAACAAAAGGGACTAGGAGTTAGATGAAACCGCTTCTTCGATGTTATTTGTTTCGAGGCCTCAATCTTCTGGCTATACAGTCCGTATATTTTTCACGTCTTCGTCTTAGTCTTCCAGCAATACTGTCTGCAACGGAGAATGCACGTTTCTTTTCAGGTATGCTTTCCAATGTCACAGGACTACCACCAGGTTCTGTGTTGCTGAAATCCAATTCCTTTCCAACATCTATCTTGCCCCCAGAATTCAGCTCCGGAAATCCTGGTTGCTCGTGAACATCAAGGTTGGTCTCAGTAGGCTCCACTTTCTCAAACACTGTTTCATTCTTCGACAATAGCAATGTACTTGATTCTGGGTATGCATTGTATTCCTTGTTCTCACTGTTGAAGCCATCCTCCCCAGTATGGGGCTTCGATGTTACAAGCTGATTATCATCGACCTCGGGTGATTCTTCTGATGGCAATTCTTGAGCTAGGCAAGAGAGTGATCTCTTAGGAGAAACTTGATCGGTATCATCTGGAACCTTTTCCATATTGGTTTGCGCACGCTGGGTTTGAATTAGATAGTGTGCAACCGACTTGAACCCCATTTTCTTTACCTGGGAAGTGGACAAAGAAGCTTAGACTTTAGAAAAATGTCTGAGCAAGAAAATGCACAACTGATGGACCTACCTTCTTATAAAGAGAGCCAGTAGGAGCCCATCCTTTTGCTTTCCGGCACATACTACAGTTGCAAATTCCACGACACACAGGGCAAACCCAATTCGGATTCTCATTGGCTTCAAGAATATGCTCCCCATACCTGTAGATTTAGAATGAAAATTAACAGTAAAAACCACCAATAGAAAAGAACGAACATCTCAAACTAAAAGTTTAGGAAGATCGACAAGAAAACATTCTAGCTGAATGCTTGAAACATCAATATTTAGTGACATATGCATGGATATCTAAAACTATAATACAAGATTGAAGAAAGGGGCTGAGTTAAGCATACATACATTAACAAAAATTCATACCTCATGTATAAACAATCTCCACAGAATTGCCTTCGGCCCATATAGCATTTGCTACAGCGAGTACAATGACCAAGCATTCTCTGCCTACAACGCAGCGTTTTCATCACGACTCACGGTACAAAATTTTGAGAGATATAAATAACAGTATTAGAGGACAATGTGTTCTGAAACAGTTATAAACAGAAATGCTGTCATACAAGTTAAAGCATGTTGAAATAAAGTGTGATCAGCAAGAAAGTACTAAAACTACTAATGCTGGCAGCCGAAAATTGTATGATCGAATTATGTTTCCTCCAATCAAACTGGCTCCTTCTAAATCAGCAAGAAACTAAAACTACTAATGTTGGAAGCTGAAATTTGTATGATCGTATTATGTCGTGCAAGTATATCACTATATCGTATTTCATGGAAGATATTATGCAGATGGAATAACAAAGATTCCCATACCGGCATTGATGACAATTCTTTCCTTCGAAGACATCATAAATCTGTCTTCCATCACTTCCATATCCATCCACAAAATGTGTCCAGCTCCTCTGTGTGTCACCCAAAAGCTTCTCGTGCTCTTCAGTATACACCTCTGATTTGCTAACCTTCAGTTCCACATTCTCCAAAAGCTCATCCTTTTTTGCCAAAGCCGCCTCTGAATAAGTCGCTGAAGTAGTATTTTGCAACCTAAACAACCACCACTTAGAAAAACTCATCAAAAAAGGAAACTTCATGTATGATATTTTGTTCATGTACATATGCTTTTCAACCTTGAGAAGCGGCTGGGACTGGAAGATGGAGGCAAGGAGGACAGAGGGATAACCGGTGGCTTACTACCAGCAAGAGGATGCTCACACCTTGAAGAGAAGACATCAAGGCTGATCTCAGTAGGCTCCCCTTTCTCAAACATTGTTTTATTCATTGAGAATAGCAATGTACTTGATTCTGGGTATGCATTGCATTCTTTTTTCTCACTTCTAAAATCATCCTCTCCGGTTTGAGGCCTTGATGTTCCAAGCTGATTATCATCGAATTCAGGAGATACTTCTGATGGCAATTCCAAAGCTTCATGGGCCTTCAATGGCCCCAGGCATTTCTGATGAGTAGATGAGATTCCATCATCCAATTTCGCAACCGATCGATGATTACCGCCACAAATGAATACTTGGAATGAGATGTCAATGCAGTCAATTAACTCAAATATACAAACATCACCAACTTGTATGTTGTTGTCGCGCACAAAAGCGCCCCAACCATTGCAGAGTTTAACATAGGGTCGTTCGTTACATCCTAGGATAGTGCGGTACTCAGCGGACCAAGTTTTGCCATCAGAATCACGGAGAACTACATCACCATGATCCATGAAATACTTCCTGCTAAACTCTCTAGGTATATGCTGCAACAAAAGAAAGTAATACCAAACAGAAGATATATTCGCTTATTAAAGATCAAACACAGATTCAAAGAACAGCTTACCAGAGAACGGCTACGCTTGGAATGAAGATCAGCATATGCTGGTTGAATGAAAACCAAAAAGAATGGATTTTCGGACTTGAAGGCACTACTAGCCCTCATAAGAGCTTTAGATTTTTCACCAGGTTTCACTTTTTTCACCTCTCCCTTTCCAGCTGAAAACCCATCATTATCAGCTCTCATAATCTTTCTCCTACCTGTAGAGTTGTTATTTATGATCTGCTCTGAGTTATCTTCTTCAATCTTCACTGCTTGTTGGTGAATTCCCTCCTTGTCATTTGCATGTGGTGGGTAACGAATCTCAGAGGCACTTCTATCGAATATGAGCACGTGGAAACGGCAATTCCCTTGGTACCTAAAAACCATGAAATGTCCCAACTCCAACGAGTAACGCTCCACGAATTTTCGCCAGCCGTTTTGCACCCAGATTTCATCCTCCAGTTTTATCAGTTCCAACTCCCACACTTCACCATTTGGAACCTCAAAGAATACTGGGCTTGACAGTGTATTCCCATGATCTCTTGCAAATTTGCTAGGAATCCCCTGTTAACCCACCAAAAAAAGAGCTACTAAACATGCAAATACTCTAAATTGCAAAACAAACTCAATATTCAAGATTTAATCACATTTTTCATTAGTCGAAACTCGAAGGTATATGCTTACAAGCCTGCCATCCCGAATGGTATTTTCAAGAATGATTTTGAAGAAATGGTATGGTTCTGGTGAATAATCGCTGGCTGTACCATGATGAGAAGCCATTGTTGAATGTTAAGGAACTTCAGAATTTTCTTGGACTACTTGAGCAAACCAGCTAAAACAGATAAATTGTTAATATATTCATAGTTCACATACAAATTACTAATAATTACCGAATAGAACTCCATTGATATTAAACGAGGGGGAAGCACGGATTCAGATCCTGATGGTGATTGATTACGACAGTCAACCAGTGTAGCCAAGACACGTAGAGAAGAAAGAACAGCTTCATCAGTCACTTTTCATTTCTTTTCTCATTGCAGAACGCCAATCACATCCAAATATTGGAATAGAATTCCATGCCCCTTTTGTTGCTCCAGAAGTAAAAATTCACAAGTAGATTAATTTATTAATTCCTTTAATATATATGTTAGTTAGTTCACCCACCGTATGAGTCATAGTAAAAGCACAATTAATGAATTCACCTCGAAAAGAAAGAAAAAGATTTAATAATTGCTGCACACCACCAGTTAGCGTAAAAAGGAAAGAAAGAATTTAATACAAAATAAATGCATTTGATTTGTGAGCATAGCAATAACATGTTGGCACCGGTTAGCACTCAAAGAATCATTAAGAGAACTAACATTTTGCTCTTGGGATATTCATGACGCCTACAGCATTTATCTTTAATGTGACCTAGCTTACCACAATGATTGCACTGAGAACGATTCTTGCGCTGATTACCCATAGTTTTAACAGCACAAACAGTTTTAATGATGGGATTATTCAATTTAATGACCTTTTGTTAAAAGAAGTGTAATTACAGAAAACGTGCTCCATCTCTTTCATTATCTACAAAATAAGTTTACAAGACCAAATCCTTTATATACAGCCCACCAACCGTTACAAGCCTAACCAACAATCTAACTAATTAATAATTGTAATCTAACTAATTAACAACAGCCTAACTAATCAAATAGCAGAAAACTAACACTCCCCCTCAAGTTGGTGGTTAAAGATGTTGATTAACCCCAACTTGGAACTCAAATATTCATGCTGTTGAACTCCCAAAGCTTTTGTTAGAATGTCTGCTTGCTGGTCTGTTGTCTTCACATACTCTGTTTTAATTATTCCTTCTTGAATTTTTTCTCGAACAAATGGCAGTCAATTTCAATGTGCTTTGATCTTTCGTGGAAAATTGGATTTGTTGCTATTTGAAGAGTTGCCTTGTTATCACACATCAACTTTGCTGGTCCTGTGTTGTTAAACCCAAGCTCATTCAGTAAGCCTGTTAACCACACTATTTCTGCAGCAGTCATTGCCATACTACGATACTTTGCCTCTACAGATGACCTTGCAATTGTGTTTTGTTTCTTGGACTTCCAAGATAGCAAAGAGTCCCCTAGTTTTACACAAAAACCAGTTACTGACCTCCTAGTCATTGGGCAAGTTGCCCAATCTGAATCACAAAAGGCTTGAAGTTGGCATTGACTTTCTGCACTCAGCAACACTCCTTGACCTGGACTGCTTTTGATATACCTGACCACCCTCAAAGCTGCATCCAAGTGTAATTTCCTTGGTTGTTGCATGAATTGACTCAACAATTGTACTGAATAAGCAATATCAGGCAATGTGTTGGTGAGATAAATCAATTTCCCAATCAATCTTTGATAACTTGTCTTGTCCTTTAACAGCTCGTCTTCAGAAGTCAACCTCTTATTTTGTTCCAAAGGAGTTGCAGCAGGCCTTGCACCCCCCAATCCAGTTTCTTCAATTAACTCCAATGCATACTTCCTTTGACTTATAATGATTCCCTTTGCTGATCTTAACATTTCTAAGCCAATGAAATACCTTAATTCACCAAGATCTTTCATTTTGAAATTTTTATTCAGAATTCCTTTGAGTTCTTCAATCAATCCATTGTTATTTCCAGTTATCAAAAGATCATCCACATATATAAGCATTATGACTACTTTGCTTCCTTGTGACTTAGTAAACAATGAGTAGTCAAACTTGCTTTGAGAATAACCTGCCAACAGAAGAACCTCTGTGAGTTTCATGTTCCACTACCTTGAAGCCTGCTTTAATCCATACAAGGATTTTTGCAGTCTGCACACCCTGGTCTCCCCCTGACTGCAAAATCCTTCAGGTAAGGACATGTATACCTCCTCAACTAAATCACCCTAGAGGAAAGCATTATAGACGTCCATCTGAAAAAGCGGCCATTGATGAATAGAAGCAAGGGCCAAGACTGTTCTAACAGTGACCATTTTTGCCACAGGTGAGAAGGTCTCAACATAATCAACCCCTTCTCTTTGAGTGTATCCTTTAGCAATAAGACGAGCTTTAAACCTCTCCACTTCTCCATTCGATTTATATTTAATGTGATACATCCATTTACTTCCAATGGGAGTCTTATTAGAAGGCAGGGGAACCAATGACAAGGTATTATTAGATTCCAAAGCTAAAAACTCCTCATTCATGGCTTTAATCCATTCAGGATTTTGAATGGCTTCAGTATAGGTCTTAGGCTCAACTAAATGAGATATAGAAGAAAGGTAAAGTTGAGTTTTAGCAGGAAGACGAGAATAAGAAAGAAAGTTAGAGATAGGATAAGTACCTGGAAGAGAGGAAGATTGGTAGGACTGCACATAATCATGTAACCAAGAAGGCTGTTTTTTTGACCTAGTAGACTGCCTAGGGGGAATAAGAATGCTACTTGATGAAGAGCCATCAGAAATAATGGGTTGAGGTGAAGGTTGAGGTGAAATGGAATCATCTGTTGAAGCTTGAGGTGATGCAGAATGAGGTGAAGAACCAGAAGGTATAAAAGATTGGGTGTGAGAAGGCATAATCAGAAAATTAGAATCATAAATGTCTTGAATAGGAAAAAATAGAGAAGAAGAAGAAATGGGAAATGGGAAATTGGAAAGGAAAAATGTCCTCATGGAACTTAACATCTCTATTAACAAAAAAGGTTTTTTTTTCAAGATTGAACAGTAAGTAGCCTTTTTGAGTGGCAGAATAACCCATGAAGACAGAAGGTATTGCCTTTGGGGAAAACTTATCTTTGTAATTTGGTTGGGTGGCATAACATAAACAACCAAAAACTCTCATATGAGACAAATTGGGAGGTTTACCATGAAGAAGTTCAAAGGGGCTTTTTCCAGCTAAAGAAGAAGGCAACCTATTAATGATATAACAGGCTGTGGTGACACATTCCCCCCCAAAACTTAACAGGAACTTGGGAATGAAACTTGAGGGCTCTAGCTAACTCTAACAAATGCTTGTGTTTTCTTTCAGCAATGCCATTTTGCTGAGGAGTATGAACACATGAACTTTGATGAACAATACCCAATGAAGAAAAAAAGGAAGAACACTCATTAGCAAAAAAACTCAGAACCATTGTCACTTCTAATGTACTTGATTGTGACTGAAAAATGATTTTTTACATAGGCAAATAATTGTTTTAAAGAAATGATTGCATCACTCTTAAGCCTCAACAAAAAAAATCCAAGACATCCTTGTGTGATCATCAACAATGGTGAGAAAAGATCTATAACCACTATGAGTGGAAATCCTATAGGGTCCCCATAGATCAATATGTACCAAATCAAAAGGTGCAGAAGCTCTAGAAGTACTGTGTGGAAAAGGTAACCTAGATTGTTTAGCAAGAGGAAAAATTGAGCATTTAAGGACACTGTCAGCATGAAATTTATGAGATTGTAAATATGGAATTTTATGTAAACTAGAAAAAGATGAGTGTCCTAAACGAGCATGCCAAAGTTTTGTATTATTGACAGTTGAAAGATTCATACAATTGGAAGAGCCCAAGGCAGGACCACAAGAAAAGGAATTACAGTGATTAACAGAAAAAATACCAGAATCAAAAGTTGAAGAATCAAAAAAATGCAGCCCACGAGACTCCCTACCAATCCCCTTCATATTTCCAGTAGAGAGATCCTGTAAAATGCAGAAGTCAGGGTAAAATGAAACAGTACAATTAAGCTCTTTGGTCAGCTTAGAAACAGACAAAAGGTTGTGTGCAAATCTGGAATAAACAGGACATGTTTAAGGGAATTGTTCTGGTCAAGAGGAAAAGAACATGTATATGTTATGGGGGCTGTTTGACCATTAGGTAAGTATACAAATCTAGAGACTGGTGTGCAAGGAACTGGAGAGACTAGTTTTTGAAAATCTGATAACATATGGTCAGTGGCCCCTGAGTCTAATAT